TGCATGCTGTAGTGGTTATATAAAAATATTGCTGGATGACAAGCCATAAATAATGTGTGTACTGACTCCTAGTGAGATACCGCTGCAGTGTTTAATGCATTTATTAACCATGTAGTGATGTGATTTGCAGAAGGTGGATGCATAATTGCGAGATAGCATTTCTATCTGCAAAGGATGGAGGTAGAGGGATTTGGGGGATTGGAAGCAGAGAGTTACTAGGTTTTGGGAGGATCTTACGATGGTTATTAGGTGCAGGGCAAGAGAAGACTAGGTTAGGGTGTGTCTGAGCAAGGACATATGACTGAACTCATCTAGGAGCTACTGGGATTAGAAGGAAACATGGAGGTCCACAGAGACCTGTGTCTGGAGGAGAAATATCTCTATAAGCAATATTCCTTTCTCCTTACAGAAAACCACTAGCTCCTCTGCTGGCCTGATTCTTCTTTTTTTCTAGGAAAGGAATAAGTGATATTCTCCTTCTGATCATGAGAGTTTTTTCTTTTCTGGACATGCAGTTGGTTTCTCTACCAGCCCTTGACTAAGACCAACACTTTAGTTCGAATATTAAAAACTAAAGGTTGCGAAGACCAAAACAAGGCTTGTGTGACGAACGTACAGGATACTGAAGAGCTCATCGGGAGGTGCATGAATATGATTATCTCTAAATATCATCTGTTGCTTGTGCTACCACAGCGATAAGCTGCTCTGTGAAAGCAGATGTTCATTTTTACAGAATATAAAAGCTTGAGTGAGTGCAAGGTTGCTGGCAGTATGGGGGCAGCTTCCTCAGAGTAGCCCACGTTACTGAATTATAGCTCCCTGCGAAGCCGGGGAGAGTGTCAACCCATCTTACATAACTTTGTTTTACAGTCAGAGGCATGTCACAGCTGAGTGTATAAGTCATTAGCAAATGCTATTTTACCTCAGCAGAAAAGATCTCATACCTCTTTCCATATGTTTAACCAGTTATTTTAAGCTGCTTTTCCTTCACTGGTTTTTATTATTAGCCCCGCTTGTGTTTTGTTTAATGACAAAATTCCCATAGATCTTTTTGTCACCAGATAAGAGCTTTATATTAAAATTCAAAAAAATATAAATTTGAATACAGACTTATTAGCCACCTGTGTGTGCTATTTTACTCCTGTGGAACTAGGTACTTCTAGCACATTTGAAGGTACCTTCTTGCCTGTATGTTAGGCGTGTAGGAGACCTGAGAGGGGGGTTGGCAGTGAACCTTCGGCATCTTGCATAAGAACAGCTCTCATTTCCCAAATTTGTTGATGGCATAGATATTCCCTGTCAGAATTGTCTGCAGCTGTCCGTGATGGGCACACTTTTCTATTGTTTAATTCTTTAGGATAATGGAAGGAGTTGTAAGGTAAATATCCGATGGCTGAGGATATCTTTTATAATTCAAATGCATGCCTTCCAGTCTGGTTGTGTTTCCACCAAGGCTATCACCTCCAAGCCCTGATTTTTTTACCTCTGGTAAGGTGTTCACTCACGGTAGCACAGATACAGCAGTTCTGCTACATGTAGGATCCTTTCTGCCCGAGAGTAGGGCAGGAAGAATTTTCCCCTTAGGTTGTAATTACAGGACATACACTTTCTATAGCACTCTCCTCAACATGTAGGTGGGTTTTTTTTTCCCATTACTTGTGATTTAGTGATGCACTGTTGCATTATAGTGGTGCAGCCTATGCCAGCATTTCCATTATAACCTGTTTTTACAGGTTTATAACTCAACAGTAAAAACGTACTCTTTCAATTTGAAACCTGGCATATAATGTCTCATCTCATCCTCAGAATGATAGTTTTTTCTTTCCCTCTGCCTTCCGCCCCCCCCCATCCCCCAACCCCCCCAAAAAAAAAGGGGTTGCGTTTTTGCTGTATTTTTAAATGGAAGATATTGTCCTTTCTGTTTTGATAAGAGAAAAGCCTGCGTGTTTATTAAAATTATTTTTCAATTCTAAGAAAGGAGGTATAATAGAGGATGCCTGTGAATAATTGTTGTTGATGTTAAAATGACTACATTAAGTATATGGATACAGAGAAGTATTACCTTCCAAATGAAAGCTAGGGAATATTGGAAAGCTTTTTTTATGTTGATTTTGTTTCTGTTGATTTTACCCTTAAAATAGTGTTCTCAAAGGTAAATATGTTTTAGCTGTTGCACTCTATCAGGCTGAATGAAGTAAAGGAAGACTGCATATAGACAAAATGATGATATTTTTCTCTTTTCTCATTTAAGAAACACAGTACAGAAGGAATGTAAATTCTAACTTTGGCGTTGAGACCGACTACAAAGAGTAGACTTGTAGTTAGCACAGTGTTATGAATCCAAAGCAGGCGTAAGCAGCAAAGCACAATGTTTCCAACAGACAGATGCTTGTGTGGACTAGGAAATTTAGCACTGAATGACAAACTAAGAAATACAAGGCTTGTATGATCCTTACAGTTTACTCTGTCAAGATCTGAACCTCTGAACCTGAGGCCTGCTCTGAAGCCTCACGTTCCAATTCAATATAGTATGGGTGTTTAGGATACAAGAAAATCAGGATTGAAATCCAGTTTCTCCTTCTTTACCCGTCTCCTTGGAGCCAACCATTTAGGAGTTGAAATCTACCCAGTTGCGATTAAAGGAAGTTTCCTAACCTCTGTGAATACCACCACCACTGCAAACACAGCAGGAAGGCTTCACTGTGTTGCTTCTTCTTGTAGCGAATTTACTTCCAGGCATTTCTTTTTCCATTTAGATAGTTAAATTTATGCTTACCGTAACGACTTTAATGGTACTAATTAGAAGAAAGGGTATGTAAGAGAGAGATTCCACGGAGGGTGTTTATTAATGAATTGAGCTATTATTTTGCCATGTATTTGAGAACTATCAACATATATACAGTGTGCATTCTTACGATAGCTAAGCTGTCTTTCTCTTAAATCCCAGCTGTTTTAGTTTTTCAGTTGTCTCTAATATATCTACTTATAAATATAAAAGTGTCATGAAAAGCGGGGAATGTGCTTCCTAATGAGAAGTTCGGTTCCTTCATTCAAGGCCAACGGCATCCTGGCCTGTATCAGAAAGAG